ACACACACTCACACACACTCACACACACTCACACACACTCACACACACTCACACACACTCACACACACTCACACACACTCACACACACTCACACACACTCACACACACACACACACACACACACACACACACACACACACACACACACACACACACACACACACACACACACACACACACACACACACACACACACACACACACACACACACACACACACACACACACACACACGTCGTCCGCGGAAGCAAGCGGGGGATGCCGAGGGACGAGCACTCTCTGGGCCTGCGGTGGCAGCTCGGGGGGCCAGTCAGGGCCTCCCTCCGGGGGGGACAGCAAAGGGGGGGATAGCAAAGGGTAGGGTAGAGAATCAGCTGACGTAGCTGATTTTCCCAGCGCCTCCCGGCGCCGGGAGGCGCCCATGTATCGAGGAATGGGCCCGGCGGCGGGGCCGAAGCCAGCTGCATGCAGCAGATTTCGTACCCCCCCTTTCCCTATCCCCCCCTTTCGTTCGGCCCGATTCTTGGGGCCGCTTTCGGACAGCCACTCCTGCAATCGCGATAATTGTCTTCCCCTTGTTCGGGCTTTGGCAGAACTGAGTTTAGTGGGAGCTGGTTTAGTGATGTGTATCCTACCCCTCCTCCTCCTCCTCCTCCTCCTCCTCCCCCTCCTCCTCCCCCTCCCCCTCCTCCTCATCCTCCTCCTCCTCCTACTCCTCATCCTCCTCATCCTCCTCCTCATCCTCCTCCTCCTCATTCCCCTCGCTCATCTCCTCCCCCTTTGCTCCCTCCAGACCTCGTCCCCTCCGCGAACACTGAAGAGGTCGGGTGTTGCTAGAAGCACCCCTGGCCCAAGGTACTCCCAGGACTCTCGGGGCGGCCCAGGCGGCCTCCAGGGCACCCCTCACGAGGCCCAAGGGACCCCAGGGGCTACAAAGTGGAGCGAAAAGCTGGGGGCACCTTGGGCCAGGGATACTCACTTCTAGCAACACCCGAAGAGGATCAACTGAGACCATCCGGGGATCTTCTGACCCGGGTCAATCCAGACCCAGGTCAGTCGGGCCTTGCAAGATCCTGCAAGGTCCTGCACTCAAACCCGGGTCAATGCGAAAGACCCTGCAAGATCCCGCAAGGTCCTGCGCCCCAGCCCGGGTCAATACGACCCTGCCCCTGCCCCGCTTGCATTGACCCCTGTCTCAAAGCTCCCGAAGACGGTGGCGGCTCTCCCGCCCAGCCCAGGTCCGTCCAGAATCGGCCTCCTGGGGCCCATTCCGACCCGTTTTCGTCGAGGCGGGCCCAGCCGTGGCGGCGGGAAGCCGCCGAGGCCCGCGAGGGGCGAAGGAACCCCAGGGAGGGCCACCGCTGTCTCGCCTCGTCTTCCTTGAAGAATGGGCCGCCGCCTCCTCCTCCTCCTCCTCCTCCTTTTCCTCCTCCTCCTCCTCCTCCTCCCCCTCCTCCCCCTCCTCCCCCTCCTCCTCCTCCCTCCTCCTCCTCCTCCTCCTCTCCTCCTCCTCCTCCTCCTCCTCCCTCCCTCCTCCCTTATCATACCTCCTCTTCCTCCCCCTCCTCCTCCTACTCCTCCGTCTCTTCCTTTTCTTCCTCTTCCTCCTCCTCCTTCTTTCCCTACCTAGGCTCTGCCTAGAAGGGTTCTTACTCTGTTTGCTTGCCTAGAAGGGTTCTTACTCTGTTTGCTTAGAGGGCCGGGCAGTGGAAAGCGCCCCGGGCGGTTCCCCCGGTTGCGCTCCCTGGGTGCTCAGCAGACGCAAAAGCAAAGGCAAACGTGAAGGCAAAAGCGAAGGCAAAGCAAACTCATAGCATAGCATAGCATAGCATAGCATAGCGCAGCATTGCATAGCATAGCATATGAAGACAATATCAAAAGCAAAACAATGCAAAGCAAACACAACACCAATGCGAAATTGTGTAGATGTAGATGTAAGTGTAGGTGTAGATGTGGATGTAGGTGTATATGTAGATGTAGATGTAGATGTAGATGTAGGTGTATATGTAGATGTAGATGTGAGTCTCGCTGTTGATGTTGATGTAGATGCAGATGCAGGTGTAGATGTAAATGTAGCTGTCGGTGTAGACGTAGATGTTGCTTTCATAGATGCTCCGACTCCTAGGTAGGATCGCACTGGGATGTTTTGTCTTCCTTCTGTTTGTCCTCCTCCTTCTCCTTCTGTTCCTTCTCCTACTCCTCCTCCATCCTCCTGCTGCTCCAACTGCTGCAGCACCGATCAGCACGGTGCGAGGCGGCGGGCTCAACAGCGGTGAGGGTACGACATCCACGCACCGTCGTGGAAGGTCTCGCGGCAGTTGTCGGCCTGGAACTCCATGGTGAACATGAACAGCGTGAACATCGTCTTCGGAAGCGTACCTCCGACGCAAGAAGATGAGATGGCATCTTGAACGTGCCACCCCCCTGGAGCACCTCCGTATCTCTTCCATCATCCCTGGTGCCCTGCGTGCAAGACGAAGCACCTTCTTGAATAGCGCCCAGGACTGTTACATTCGTTTACGCACGCGAGGCTTTATGCCCATGTGAAGGGCTTCCCCCTACAATGTCTCACACCTGGGGGAACTCCTTTCACGTCTTCACATTCCTCATCCTCTTCATAACTCTCGTCATTCAACATGTGGCAATTTCAGGAGCCAGAACCATCATACCTCCAACACGAGTGCTCACAACGGCACTCCGAATAATTATGAAACATGTGTCAATGCTGTCTGCAACACGTGTTGAACATACTCAAATGCGATTCTTGCAACGCAACTGACCTCACATCGGTTGGGGACCTGCTCCTCAGACAACATCATGCTGGAACACTTGCCCCGCGAACGCCCCTGACCACCGACTCAACAGTCAGCACAGAGCACCCGGCACGAGCCAACTCTGCATCCTGCGACGAGCTGGACTGGAAGACGAAGACACGCCACCGACACGATCTCTTGGCGCTCCGCGCGGACTTCTTGGACCCGCGCTGGGACCCCCCCGTCCCTGGCGCGCGGAGCGCGCTGGGGGCGGCGCTGGAGGCGCCGCCGGGGGGGCGGCGCCAGGGAGGGGCGGCGAGGGCCTCTCCGACGCCGCCCCCAGCGCGCTCCGCGCGCCAAGGACGGGTGGTCCCAGCGCGGGTCCGAGAAGTCCGCGCGGAGCGCCAGGAGCTCGTGTCTGTGGCGTGCTTGCTTCTTCGACGGGCTGACAGTGTGCCGCAACTGGCCCACTCGGTGTGGAGGAGGAGGAGGAGGAGGAGGAGGAGGAGGAGGAGGAGGAGGAGGATGAGGAGGAGGAGGGGGAGGAGGGGGGGGAGGAGGAGGAGGAGGAGGAGGAGGAGGAGGAGGAGAGAGCAGGAGGAGGAGGGGGAGGAGGAGGAGGGAGGAGGAGGAGGGAGCAGGAGGAGGTGTGTGTGTATGTGTGTGTGTGTGTGTGTGTGTGTATGTGTGACTGTGTATGTGTGTGTGTGTGTGTGTGCCCGCTCGCCTTCCGTCCTGGCGCCCGTACTGCGCCGTGCTGCGCTCAACCTGCCCTGCCCACGGCCTCACCCTCCTCCTCCTCCTCCTCCCCCTCCTCCTCCTCCTCCGCCTCCTTCTCCCCCTCCTCCTCCTCCTCCTCCTCCGCCTCCTCCTCCTCCGCCTCCTCCTCCTTCTCTGCCCACGCCCAAGGCACCGAAGTTCTCTTCGTACGTGTCGTACCACCCACCTTCGGCCTCCTCGTCAGGTACGGGCGTGAACTCTAGGTAGTTGTCCCACTGGATCAGCTTCTTGCCCGCGATCTCGAGGAATGAGGGTGGGAGGGGGGGATGGAGGGAGGACTGGCGAATGAGGTGGGAAGGGAAGAGCGGGAGGGAGAGAGGGGACACGACATGGTGAAGGGTCCACGGAGAGGAAGCGAAGGAGAGGCAGGAGCTGTTGGAGGGCGGTGGGGATGAGAGATGAGAGGAGAGGGGCGGAAAGGGGCGGGTGGCTGAGGCTGAGACTTCAGGGGCGAGAGGTGAGAGGAGAGGGGCGGAAGGGGCCAGGTGACTAAGGCTGGGACTGAATTAGAACGGGAGGAGGGCGGCGGGGACAGGAAGGGAAGGGAACGATGGGGAGGCGGAGTGGAGGAATGGAGGAGACAGCGGGGAGCGGGTGGAGCGGAATGTGCCAGAGGAAGAGGCGATTCGACTCGTCTCACCCGACGGCGCCAAATCAACATGTCAACATGTCCATACTCGAAGGACTTGCGCAAAGAGAAGGTCCAGAGCGCGGTGGCTGGCTACTGGGCGTTGCCCCACCGCCGGGATAAGCCCGTCGAGGGAAGGAGTATGGGGGATTAGGGACGGGAGGCAGCAAGCCAGAACGGCAATGGACACGGCATGGAGTGGACGAGCAGCGAAACACAAAAGACGATGCCCTCGATAGCACTGACATGCTCACAAGGACCGGGCACGGGCATGGGGAGGGGACGCGAGGCGGGTGGGGCAGGGGGAGCGGCATCACTTCTGGGACACGAAATGTGCCGGTACCGCCACTCCCTGGACTTCTCCCGGGGCGCGTTCTGGCCAGGATTTGGCTGCGAATCCAGCTGTGGAGATGAGGGCCTCCCAAGGGACCCCAAAAGGGGGAAACGAGGGAAGGGTAGCGGCATGGGCACCTCTTTCTTCCCTGAGGAGTGGCATTGCTCAGCTTAGACCTCCCACTTCCCTCTCGCAGGGGGAGCATAGGGCGTGGGGGCTCTAGCGGCCTTGCAGACAAGCAGGGAGCAGATGAAGTTCGCGATGAGCAGCAGCAACATGCCTGGGGAGCCCACGGATGCTACACGTGCCCGCCCCCCTCTTCCCAGCCTCTTCCTGCAGTCAATCCGTATAATAAGGGCACACGATAAGGAGGCAAGGGCCTTAGAAGGCCATGCTTGTCGACACTCTGCGAGCGGCGCACGGTCAGCGAAAGCGGCCAAGGATGGGCCGAAAGGGCAGGGTGCAAAAATATCCATGTAAAATCGCTGATCCTTACTATGCGGGTCGACTGTACGTGCAGTCGGGCTGCTAACATTCGCTGGCCAAAAAATCGGGGAAGAATTTTAGGATGTTTTTTTTTTTTTTTTTTTTTTTTTTTTTGTTAGGATGTTTCTGGCTCGCGCGCGCGCGGCCGCCCCTGGGCCCTGGGGGTCCCCAGACGAAGAGTACCCCCTGCGAGGTCGGGGCACAGATGCCTGAACTCTTGGGCGCAGTCCTGGGGGCCCCTAGAGCGCCTCAGGGAGACCCCGAGTGGTGGCAGGCTCCACGGTCTCAGGCCAAGAGCCGTCAACAATTGCAAATCCGCCGAGCTCGATTTCGAGCTCGCCAGGCGCCGAAAAAAACAAGATTCCAGGAACCATACTGGGGCCCATATCTCAGAAAAACCAGATGTGCGATCCACCAAGGACCAGCGTTTCGGGGACACCTCGGAAACCATCTCCCGACCATATCTTCGGAAACCCCTCTTAGCTTGATTCCCGTTCTTCTAGTTTCAAGATGACCCAAATGGCGCCCAAGACTTCCCAGGAGGGCCCCAAAACGATCCCACGAAGGCCTGAAGAAGCAACCATTAATAAGTTGGCGTGTTTTTTGAAAGGCTTTGCGGACCGCCTTTTCAAGCTTCCGAACGCCTAGGATGGCCCAAGAGGCATCCAGGACGGTGAAAGAGGCCTCCCCAAGTCTTGAGATGCTCCCAGTCTTGAGAGGCTCCCAGGACGGTCAAAGAGGCCTCCCCTGAGGGCCCCAAAAGGCCCCCATGAGGGCCCAGAGGGGAACCCGAACAGACACATCGAATATTCACCGAAACTCCTTCGTCTGACCGCCAGCAGGCCCCCAAGAAACCTTCAAGAGGCCCCCATAAGCCCAACAGGATGCCCCACGGGGCCGCCGAGAGGCCCCAGGATGCCCCAAACATGCCGCCAAGAGGCCCCCGAGAGGCCCCTCTAAGAGACCCCACGAGGCCTTCCAAAGAGACGTCTTGTCCGCGACCCAGTTTTGGCCCTCCCAAAGGATCCTCACCCTCCTTCTCCTATCCCACCTCCTCCTGCGAACAATTCCCCTTCACAAGTGGAGAGATTTGGAGGAGGCCTCCTTACAGCTAGGATGTGAAACGAATGTGCGTGAGCAGGAAGAAGCGGGATGAACCATCTTGGACAATCGTGTTCCTCCAGCCTCCCACGTCTCTCCACATCCTCCTCCACACACTACTGCATATCTCCCCCTCCTTTTCTAGCTTTCTTTTATGTTTGTCCCGCTTCCTCTTGCTTCCCCAGCCTTGTGCGGAAGGGGGGCGTGAGTTTGTCCCAACCATCCTATGGTGTTGGGTCCTCGCTTTGAAGAAACATGGGCCCGCTTCTCACCCCTCCTCCCCTCCTCACCCCCTCCTCCTCTTTCCTCCCATCATCATCATCATCATCATCATCACCATCATCATCATCATCGCCGTCGTCGTCATCATCATCATCGTCATCGTCACCATCATCGCCATCAGCTTCGGCACGCCTTCACAAGCTTCGTGCCCCCATAGGGAGCTCCATTTAAGGTCCCATTGGCGCAATTCGCATGGCGGCGCCGCCCCACTTTGGCACACCCCTCACCAGTTTCGTGTCCCCATAGGGAGCTCCATCTACGTCATAGTGGCGCAGTTCGCATGGCGGCGCCGCCCCGCTTTGGCACACCACTCACACGTTTCGTGGGGCCACGGGGAGCTCCACCTAAGGTCCCCGTGGCGCAGTTCGCATGGCGGGGCCGCCCCATTCTGGCACGCACCTCACACGTTTGTTTCGTGGCCCCATAGGGCGTCCAATGTAAGGCCCCAGTGGCGCAGTTCGCGTGGCGGCGCCGCCCCACTTTGGCACACCCCTCACACGTTTCGTGGCCCCTCAGGGAGCTGCACCAAAAGTCCCAGTGGTGCAGTTCGCATGGCGGCGCTTCATTTTCGCACAACCCTCACACGCTCCGTGGCCCCATAGGGAGCTCCATCGGAGGTCCCACTTGCGCAGTTCGCATGGCGGCACCGCCCACCTTTGGCACACCCCTCACACGTCTCGTGGCCCCTCAGGGAGCTCCACCTAAGGTCCCACCGCATGGTGGCGCCGCTTCATTTTGGCACACCCCTCTCACGCGCCGTGGCCCCATAGGGAGCTCCGCCGAAGGCCCCAGTGGCTGCGTTCGCATGCGGTTCCGCCCCACATTGTGGCACACCCCTCACACTTTTGGTGGCCCCGCAGGGAGCTCCACCGAAGGCCCCAATGGCTGCGTGCTGCGTTCGCGCGCGGTTCCACCCCGCATTTTGGTGCACCCCTCGCACGCTTCGTAGTCTGAGGCGGCCCCGCCGAAGGCCACAACGACAGGTTCCGCATGTCGGTACCGCTCAATTTCTGCACAACCCTCGCACGAAGGGAATGCTTGCCGCTGGGTATGTCGGTGCGCATGGAAAAATACGAGAGCGCGCCCTTCGTGGACGACCTGAACCGCCACGACGACACCCTGACGGGGGACCTCGCGGGCCCGCTGGTGTTCATCGAGCCCCGCGCGTCGGAGCCGTTCACCTTCCGCGCCTCCAAGGTCACCCGGACGGGCTTTTCGTTCTCGCGCGGCAAGGTTATCACCACGGTGGCGCGCCAGGGGCGCACCGCGCGAGAAGGCGACGGGGCGAGGGAACGGCGCCCCCGGGCAGTCTACAGCCGAACCTGGTGCGCGCGAGCGGTCCGCAGCCGGACCATCTCTCGGTCCTATGGAGTCTCGCCTTGGGCCGTCGGCTGTCCGGCGCGATGCTCCTTCGGCCGGCGTCGCCCAGGAGTGATCCTGGATTGCGGCCGCCACGAGGTCGGGAACGGCAAGAAGGAGGACGACGACTGGCGGCTGAAGTTCTACGTGCTGATCTCGCGCGCCACTCGCCACGAGGACCTCCTGCTCATGCGGGCGCCGCGCATCGAGTTCTTCCTGGCAGGGCCGCCGCAGGGCTTGCGGAAGCAGCTGGAGCAGTTTGCGGCCCTCGCCAGGGAGCTCGGCTTCACCGAATTCATCCGCGAGGCCTGACCTGAGGAGCGTCCCGCCCGAACCGCGCCTTCTCTCGATTGTCCGACCAAGTGTTTGGCCTCGCGCCGCGGACGACCCGCGCGCGTCGCTGGGACCCTCCCGGGGCGACCAGCGCGCGTCGCGGGAACTCCGCGCCGCGCTCTGCCCAGCGCCTCGCTCGCCCGTCGTCGCTCTGCCCAGCGGCCAGAGCCTTGACCGCAATCAGCCAGCCGGCTAATTCTTTTTGCTCCGCGCAGAGGACGACCCGCGCGCGTCGCTGGGACCCCTCCGCGGAGACCTGCGCGCGTCGCAGGGACTCCGCGTTGCGCTGCGCCCGCAGCCTTGGACTTTGGAGTGCGCGGGCAAAGAGGGAGGAAAAAAAAAGAGAAGGAAGCGGGCGCTATCCTCTTGATGGGGCGTGCCGACATGGGCGTTGCGGCGTGCGGGCGCTGCCATCGGCATTTCTGGGGGGGGCCTCCTTGCGGCGGCCACATTCAGTGTCACAAGTACTCTGAACCAGTCATACGCAAGCCGTTGACACTCATATGCAATTGCACTGGGCTTAGTCATGCTCGCATTCATGCACATAGACTCGCTCGCACGCAAACTCATTCAAAAACACGCACTCGCGCTCAGACTCACCCGCGCTCAGTCACTCGTACTCAAAACTACCATCCTCGTTCGCGTTGTGTACTCCCGCCACACATTTCGACACACCTTTCATACGGTTCGTGGCCCTATAGGGAGCGCCACAGGGGAATATATCCACAACTGCGGTACTCACAACTACGTATGGTTGGGTCCTTCGCCAGGCTAATTCCCAACCGTCCTGTGGTGTTGGGTCCTCGTTTTGAAGAGACAACGCCCCGCGTCTCACTCCTCCTCCTCTCCTCCCTCCTCCTCTTCTCCCTCCTCCTTTCCCCTCCTCTCTCCTCTCGTCACCCTCAATTTGGCGCACCCTTCACACGTTTCGTGGCCCCATGATGGGCTCCACTTAAGGTCCCAGTGGTGCAGTTCGCATGGCGGCACCGCTCCATTTTGGCGCACCCCTCACACGGTTCGTGGAGCCCCATCGAAGGTCCCAGTGGCGCAGTTCGCAGGGCGGCGCCGCTCCATTTTGGCACACCCCTCACACGTTTCGTGGCCCCATACGGGGCTCCATCTAAGGTCCCAGTGGCGCAGTTCGCATGGCGGCGCCGCCCCATTTTGGCACGGCACACCTCTCACACGTTTCGTGGCCCCACAGGGAGGTCCACCTAAGGGCCCCATGGCGCAGTTTGCATGGCGGCGCCGCCCCATTTTGGCACACCCCTTACACGTTTCGTGGCCCCATACGGAGCTCCATCTAAGGTCCCAGTGGTGCAGTTCGCATGGCGGCGCCGCCCCATTTTGGCACACCCCTCACACGTTTCGTGGCCCCATGCGGGGCTCGATCTAAGGTCCCAGTGGCGCAGTTCGCGTGGCGGCGCCGCCCCATGTTGGCACTCCTCTCACACGTTTCGTGGCCCCATAGGGAGGTCCACCTAAGAGCCCCATGGCGCAGTTTGCATGGCGGCGCCGCCCCCTTTCGTCACACCCCTCTCACGTTTCGTGGGCACATATAGGGAGGTCCACCTAAGGTCCCAGTGGCAAGCTGCGCATAGCGGCGCCGCCTCAGTTTGGCACTCCTCTCACACGTTTCGTGGCCCCATACGGAGCTCCACCTAAGGTCCCAGTGGCGCAGTTCGCATGGCGGCGCCGCCCCATGTTGGCACTCCTCTGACACGTTTCGTGGCCCCATAGGGAGCTCCACCGAAGGCGCCAGTGCCACCGCCCTCATGCGTCACCCACACCCGTGTCGTCACACACCTCCCACGTTTCGTGGCCCAACAAGGAGCTCCGACGAAGGCCCCGGTGCCACCGCCCGCATGCGTCACCCACGCACATTCCGGCACACCCCTCACGTGTTTCGTGGCCCCATAGGGAGCTCCACCGACGGCGCCAGTGGCTGCGTTCGCATGCGCCCACCGCACCTATTCCGGCGCACCCATCACCTTTCGCGGCCCCATAGGGAGCTCCACCGACGGCCCCAGTGGCTGCGTTCGCATGCGCCCACCGCACCTATTTCGGCACACCTCTCACGCGCTTCGTGGCCCCATAAGGAATTATACCGACGGCCCCAAGGGACAACCGGACAACTTTTGGCACACCCCTCACACGTTTCGTGGCCCTAAAAGGGAACTCCTCCGAATGCGGAGCACACAACGACAGTACTCACAACTGCATATGGTTGGGTCCTTCGCCAGGCTAATCTTTAAATTTGGTTATCGCCGTACCGCCGCGCACATTCGTTTCTTTTCAAATCAACGTCTAGCAGGAACGAAGACTGCTCTTTTCCACAATTGAATGATTGTTTGGCATCCCGTCGACTTTACGGACTCAAAGCTTCAACGTACGTGGCGCTGCACGAATCCACGGCCGCTCTTTTTCAAAATCGAATTGTCGCTTGAGTCTTCGTCGACATCAATGGCCGCACGGATTACCTTGTACAACGGTTACACGGGCGGGGGGGAAAAGACCGGTCCTTCTTCGAAAAAGGAATATGGTTGTGTACTTCGTTGAGCTGTATGATAGTTTCTCGTTCGCGTTCCTACCTACACGCCAGAAGAAGTGCAAGGCTGATCTGTTTGAAACTGGGGCCCTGGCCAACATGGGGCGTTTCCTGTGGTGGGCAGGAGGACATGTAGGGGCGTATGAGGAGAGGGGGGGGGCGCATTGAAGCATCGCTTGTGCATCTCTGGAATACTCTGGTCCTCCTCCTTGTGCGCGCGCGCCCGACACCACCCACTGATGCCGAGGAGCCACACCAAGAATGTTTAATGGTCCTCCTCCTCCACCTCCACCTCCACCTCCACCTCCTCCTCCTCCTCCTCCTCCTCCTCCTCCTCCTCCTCCTCCTCCTCTTCGCATGGGGAAGCGGGTCCCGAGGGAAGCGAGGCCCTGGACCCTGGGGCCTTCCCCCCAGGACGAGCGCCTCGCCCTGCATCGTTTCCTGACGGTGCCTGGATCCGTGGAGGGCCCCGAGGGCCCGAAGACGGCGGCAAAGACCTCAGGACCCATTCCCCTCAGTAGGGGGCCACATGCGAACCCTACCCCATACCCCCCACGATTTCTGAGGGCGAGGGTGGAGTTCACTTCGCTCGGAAGCTGCCGAGCGGAGTGAACCCCACCCTCCCCCTCAGAAATCGTGGGGGGTAGGGGCAGGGTTCGCATGTGGCCCCCTAATTACTCAGGATCCGCTTCCCCCATGGCGATCGGTGGACATCCAGGCCCAACTGGTTTCGGGGATCTTCTGACCCGGGTCGATCCAGACCCGGGTCAGCCAGCCGTTGCGCAATCCTGCAGGGTCCTGCACCCAGACCCGGGTCAGTGTGCGAGGGATCCCGCAAGAGCCCACAGGATCCTGCACCGAAGCCCGGGTCGGTGCGACCCTGGCCCTGCAGGATCCTGCAAGATCGGCCGCTCTGGCCGGCCCCCGATGGTCCTCAAGACCACGGCCCAGGCCTCTGGGAGCCGCTCGGGACGATGCCGGCACTCCCGGACGCCCCTCTCCGACGGGCCGCCGCCGACGGAGAGCACCCCCGGGGGCTCGAAGAAGCGCAGGCACCGACGGAAACCTCCCCGAGCCCATGGCTTTCTCGGGGCGTTGGGCTCTGCTGTTCTTTCTTTTTCTGCTGGGGGGGGCGTTGGCTTCCCCAGGCCCCCGACGCCATGATCTTGTCATGACGCGACCGCCAGAGGTGTCGACCTGTTCCCTGGGACCGGCTTTTCGCCCTGAGCCGTTGTTCCACGGCCCCGGGGCCCGGTGAGGGCCCCCGGAGGCCGAAAATAGAGAAAGACCTTCCGCCCTGAGTTTTTCGTGCCTCGAGGGGGTCCCGAACGAAGTGGACCCCACTAGAAGTCGTGGGGTGGTGGGGTTTGGCTCGCACGTGGCCTCGTGGCCCCAGAGGCCGAACATAGCGTTAAGTCGGGCCTGTCCCCCTACAGGGGGATTTTCGACGAAAAACAAAAAATACCCCCAAAATGCCCCAAGAAGGCCAAAAACTACTGAAAAATAGTCCCCAGACTATGTTTGGATTATTTTTTTATTATTTTTGGGGTATCTTTCTTTTCGTCGAAAATCCCCCTGGTAGGGGGACAGGCCCGACTGAAGGCTTGGCCCCCCCCCGGTGCCCCACGACATGGCGCGCACCGCGGCGCCCAGGCCCTGGAGCAGGAGCAGCAGCTCCTTGTTGGACTTGAGGACCTCGGGGCTCGGGCGCGGGGTGGGCCCCGGAGTCGGGAGCTGACTACCTACCAGACCACCCCAACCCAACCCGAAGACCCGAATTTGACCCGAATTTCGGGTTGGGGGGGGTACGGATACCATGTGTTTTTTCAGCGTTTCCCGACCCCCCCCCACTGGAAATCGAGGATAAACTTGGGCCTTCGGGTTGGGTTGGGGTGGTTTGGTGGGTGGTGAGGAGCAGCCAAGAGCGGGGTGTCCAAGAGGGGGGGGTGCAAATCCTGACCGGCGGCATGTGCGCGGCCCAGCAAGGGGGCCAGGGACGTAATGATACAAGGAGAGGCGCGCCATGAAATCTGGGGAGATAGCATGGCCCCCGCCATGATATCCACCCCCCCCTAATCATCACCCCCCTCTTTTCCGCCCCCGATGGGAACGACAAGGCCGGTTTTTTACTGGTTCCGTTTTGCAGTTTTTGTTGCCGGTTCCGACGCCGTGTTTTTACCGGTTCCGTCGCCGTTTTTTGACCGGATCCGGCTCCGGTTCCAATCCTGGAGCCGTTTTTTTTGCTGCTTCTGGTCCCCTTTTTTTAGCCGTTTCCATTTTCAAGGGACATTTTTGTGGAAACGGTGAAAAAACGGCCCTGCCGTTTCCGGGGCCCACTGAGGGCTTGACCTCCACATTGTTTTTCGTCTTGCTTTCGTTTTTTGGAGGCTTGGAAATGAGCACCAACACCAGCACGGGGGGGTGCTTCCACAGGGGGAAGATGATCCTAGATTTCGGTGCCGGTGGCGATATTTCGGTCACCTTGGAAGCCAGAATACTACCACCATCACCGAGATCGGGATGCTCTTCCCTCGGTGGAGGCACACCGCCGATCTTGGTGTCGGTGTCAACCTCTGGGCCTGCGAGTCTTGTGTGTTCGTATTGCTCTACCAGTTTTCCTGCACCTCCTCAGGAGGCAACTACTGGGCGGTTTTCGCCGGAAAGATTAAGGAGGATGAAGCCCCATTTCGGAGCCGCTACGCCAGAGCGGGTCTCGGACTAAGCAGGATGAAGCCGGATTGAGCGAGATTAGGCGGGATTAAGCCGGATGAAACGGGATTAAAGCGGGATGAAGCGGGACTTCGGACCAGGGCAAAACCAGAATTTGACCTCCCAGGAGAGGCATCCGAAGTAGAAGTTATGGGCACCCGGTCCTCCCTCCTCCTCCCTCCTCCTCCCCCCTCCTCCCTCCTCCTCCCTCCTCCTCCTTCCTCCCTCCTCCTCCCTCCTCCTCCCTCCTCCTCCTCCCTCCTCCTCCCTCCTCCAACAAAAAGCGAGGCACAAGACACGGCCGAAGTCCAACAAGACAGCGCTCGGGTCCAGCCCCTGGGGCAGGCGAGCCCGGAACCGCTTCGACAGGCGGGGTCGGCGATCGAAAAACGAATCGGACCGGCAGAATTCGGCAGCCGAGTCGTAGAGGAAAGAGAACTATGCACATGCACCGATTCTGGCCAGGCCCAACCATGAGCACAGGATCGGTGCATACGCCCTCCTACCTTGGCCAGGAAGGCACATGCACCGATCCTGGGTCAAGGATGTGCCTTGCCAGGATCAGTGCATGTGCACAGTTCTCTTCGCCCGAAGTCGGGGAAAGTCGCATCGGAGGATGTCGGCAGGCTGGTGGGCGCCGCCATCGAGAGATCGGGATGCAGATCGGAATCCTGAGTCGAACCGAGTCGGGATGGTAATCCATCGAAATCGAATCGGATCGAATCGGAGAAGTCGGAATGAGCCCTGTTGGGGGCACCTCCCTCCTCCATGCTCCTCCTCTCCTCTACTTCCTCGTCCCAATTTTTCGTCCTCGTCCTCATGATCGTCGCCCTCGTTCTCGTCGTCCGCCTTCCTCATCGTCCTCCGCGTCCTCCGCGTCCTCCTTCACCCCTTCTCCTCCGCCTCCCTCCTCCTTCCCGCCTCCCTCCCTCACAATTGCACCATGTGAGCACTTCCCTCCCATCTCCCCTGATACGGTTCAGTGTACTGGCTACGTCTCCTGCGCTTGTCCCGCTCACACACACAGAATTCCAAACGCTTCCTTTTATGCGCTGTTGGGGGATCGGACTCCTTCCCGTCCTTCGAGAACTCTCCCGCGGCAGCGGTGGCCAGATCTCGGACCCGTCGTTCGGATGTGCGCTCTCTCGCCCCAGCGAGGCCCACTTCTGGGTTCGATTCCTTCTCCGTCGTTGCCGTTCCCCTGATTCGTCCCGACTGCACAGCATTTTGTTTTGACTGAACAGCGTCCAAGACGGCACAAGAGGCCTTCACGATCGCTCCGAGGCGGTCCAGTAGGCCCCCAGGAGGGCCCCAGCACGGCCCAAGATGGCCCCAAAACGCCCCAAGAGACGCCCAAGACGGCCCAAGAGGGTCACAAGAGGGATCCAAGAGGGGAAACCCGAGGCGGACCCAGAGGCCCTGCCCCAAGATCTGGCCTCCAAGACCTCCAACATGCCCATATGAGGCCCCCTAACATACCCCCAAGAAAGCCAAAGAGGGCCCCAAGAGGTCCACAGGATCCCCAACACGTCCCTCAAGAGCCCCCACGATGCATCCAAGGAGGCTCGCGATGCGGAGCGCCACATGTTACGGGCTTAGGCCCGGAAGGATTCTGCAAGTCGTCCCTTTCGCGTACAGTCAATCGAATGACCCCTTGGGGTGAGGCGCAGTGGCGCAATCCTTTCGAATAGAGCATAACTCAGCGCAGTGGATAGAGATGGTTGGGGGGGATCTCAGATATGACGCGAGCGCACCTAGCTTTCGCCTGACACTTCCTCACCATTTATGACCCTGAAGCTTACACATTGGCAGCAGCTTCACAGATGGAGGGCGGGTGGTTTTCAACATATGGCTCTCGCCTTAGCGCCGCGCGTGTTCGTTTAAACAAGCTGCAAGAGCTTCACGGATTGAGGGCGGGCTGTTTTCAAAACGGGGCTCTCGCCTTAGCGCCGCACACGTTCTTTTTTAAGACTTGCAAGAATTTAACGGGTTGAAGGCGGGTGGTTTTCAAAATGTAGCTCTCGCCTTAGCGCCGCGCACCTTTCTGTAATGCAAGATCTTCACTAATTGAGGGCGGCCGTCTCTGAACTGTGGCTCTCGCCGTAGCGCCGCGTACATTCGTTTTACAATATTACAAGAGCTTCACGGTTTGAGAGCGGCTCCTTCTCAAAATGCGGCTCGGAACGCGAGGCGAAACGATGCAAGATGTGTGCGAGTGCTTGCGCGGCCAAGCGAAGCCCTTCCGACGACTACTAGGGACAGTGTCCCAGCTCGCCAGGCAACAAAAACAATTGAGCCTGTACTGCGAAGCGAAACCCTTCTGACGACTACTGGGGGCTGTGTCCCAAGTCCCTGCTCCTGTGTTCAGCCGTGCTCATGTGTGTTCTGTGTGTTAAAGTTAAAGTTAAAGACGGGGCCTTCAAGGTACAGGGAGGGGGAGGAGAACGGGGACAGGGCCAGGCGGGACCAAAGTTCCCGAGAGACGCCGAGTCCCAAGCAAAGCAGACACGCGAGCCAGACTCCAGGCCGCGGCGCGCCAGACGGCGGCGGACCCTGCGGCTCATCTGGCCGTCGCACGCCGCTGCGCCCGCGGCAGCGCTCTCCTCCTCGGTGGCCTCGTTTGCGCCGAGGAGCCCAGCACTCGTCGGGCCTGGACGCTGCTGGGGCAGGCTGGCAGCCGCAGCCTCCTCCGCCAGCGCCGCCGCAGGGGCCGCTGGGCCGCTGCCAGAGCTGCTGGCCGCAGCTGAGGCCTCGCCTGCAGGCTCCGCTTCCATGCCGAGCCATTCCAGGTAACGCTCCTGGGCGTGCCCTAGCACCGGCCCTTGCGAGCGCAAGGCAGAGATGCCCTCTCCCTTCACTCTCTGCTTGTCCGCTCGCGGCCTGCCTCCAGGATGGAGCCCTCGCTCCCGCAGGCTGCGCTGATTCCTGCCTGACTTGTTGGTCAGGTAGCTGGGCCCTGGGCGCTGCACCTTCAGGCGAGACTCGTGCTCAGAAAATGTCTCAGGCGAACAGCTCAATGTTTACATGCATGGTCTGAAATCAGACTTTTTTCAGCAGCTCATTATTTCGACGATGTCTCGGAAGATACCCCATTTTCCACACGATTGTTAATTCGCGGTTTTCATTTTCTGGTGGATGTCTCAAGCGAAATGCTTGTTTTCGTGAAAGGCGGTGTTGCGAACAACTCATGGTACTTAGGATGTACCAAGCGAAGTGCACAGTTTGAGGAATATCGAGGGCGCTCTTGGGATTATGTTGGGGATCGTTTGGGGCTCGTTCGGGGCCGTTTCGATGCCATCAACAACGATGCCAATGCGATGTCACACACATCTCTTGTTTGAGGATGTCCCTGGCGCAATCGTCACTTTTAGAAGTCTGGCTTGGGCCGTCTGGAAGCCTTTTCAAGAGCGAATCCAAGACGATGTTAGAACAGCAGTTTTCAAAACGATGTTGTTGTATGTATTGATTTGTTTGAGGATATCCCTAGCGAAATCGTCATTTTCGGCAGTCTTCAGGGCGCTCTGGGAGTCATCGTGGGGTCCCTCTTGGGCTCTCATTTCTTCATCTTGAAACACTTCAATAACGACGCCAATCCGATGTTGAGAACATATCATTATGTTGAGAATGTTCCCAACGAATTGCAAATTTTCTGCCGTGTTTTTGTTCTAGTCCGCCGTGCTGCCGATCATTGTCTGAGGACGTCCCTAGCGAAGACATAGTTTTCAACAAAAGAGGTAGTAATACACCTCCGTCGACACCTCATTTTGGCTAGGATGTCTCACGTGAAACGCCAGTGCATACAGATTAATGAACTTCGCGGCGATGAATTTTGGCAAGGATGTCTCGCGCGAAACGGTTGTTGTTGTTAAACGCGATGTTGCGAATATCTCATGTTTGCGAGGACGTCTCAAGCGAAATCGCTGTTTGCGGGGATCCGCTAACGCATGGCGCTGTGCACCCGGCCACCCTCTATAGTATGAAGAGTATTTAGATATGTTGCATATTCAACCACAACGTCCAACTCGCTTCTCGTACCTCGAAGACGCTTCCCGTCATTTCTTTGAGAAAAAGCGGTCCACGCTCCTCGTACCTCGTAGGCGCTTCCCGTCATCCGCCGACCCTGTCGGCGTGTGTGAGACTTTCTTCAGTTTGGGTCGTCGTCGTCGCCGTCGCCGACACCTCCTTTCCCTGGGCCCTCCTTTTCAAGCGACCCAGCCAGACGGAAATCAAACAACGTCGTAATTGGTTCGAAGGGAGGGCCCTTCCCTTTGATTCCTTCCCTGGCGAGGGGGGGGTGTCCAGCGGGGTGGGTCCTGGTTGTCGTGACCTCCCCCCCTGTGGACAAAAGGGGACAGGGGGGCGTTCCCCTTGTGGACAGGGGGAACTCAAGACCCCTCCCCCCGCCTCCCCAAGGGGACCACCACCACCCCTCCTCCCGCAGCCCCCCCTGGAGACAACCTCCGCACTCATATCTGTTCTTGCGGGGTGCTGCGCATCTCCCCACGTGCTTCCAAGAGGTCTCGGATCCGCTCCTAGGCGGCTCCAGGCGGCCACGGAGCTTCCCAAGAGCACCCCCAACGGAGCCCAATAGGCTCGCCAAAGCGTCAGCGTCGTCGTCGTCGTCGACGTCGACGTCGTCGTCGTCGACGTCGTCGTCATCGTCCCCCTTCAGGGTCGACGGGCGGCACCGGCCGCAAGGCCTTCCCAACATCGGATCGAGCCGGGCCGTGCGTCGAACTGGGCCGCCTCGGCTCGGAGTCGGCATCGAGTCGGATCGGCACCCTCTCGGGTCGAGCCGGTCGGATATCGGATATCGGCTCGGCTCTGTCGGATGCACATCGGTCGGAAAAGGTAGGTAGGAACAGGCAGTAGGCAGGCGCTGGGAGCAGATGGGGGTTCCGCCCGCCTCCCGAAGAGGAGGGGAGAGGGAAAAAAAGCAACTCGGCTCTTGAGGTAGGGAGGCGCCGACAGTAGATTGGAATCTGGGACTCCAAGGACACCCAAAGGACACCCACTTTCACCGACCGATGTCGGCGGTGGACAAACCTCCCTTCAGTAGACCTCCCCTTAGTGAAAAAACGGCCTGGGACCGCAACCGACGGACCCGGACCCGCGAAAATGACGGCCGCGACGCCCCCTCGCGAACCGAAAACGGCCAATTCGCTAATCGACGCGTCAGGGCAGGAGGTCTGTCCACCCCCAATGCAGGGGGATTTCGACGAAAAATAAAAGATGATCAAGAAATGATAAACAAAAAAAAACCCTAAAATACTCCCAAAACAGTCCCCAGACTATTTTTTGACTGTTTTTGAATTTCCTCGTGTAGAGGGACAGGCCCGACTTAAGAGGAAGGAGTCGAGCTCTGCCCACCTCCGACACTTTCAACGACCGATGGGTAGACCCGGACCCTGCACGCGGGCTCCGGAGGTCGGGCCGCCGGGGGCCTTCTCTCGGCGAGCGCGGCCCGCCCCGCCCTCGCCGCCGCCGCCGAGCGCCGGGGGCCTTCAGCACGCGCACGAGCCTCAGCAGGCGGAGCAGTCTGAACACCCGCAGGAGCGTGAGGAAGCCGACGCTGGCGGCCGCTTTCTCTCGGGGATGGACAGACCCCCCTTTAGTAAAACGTGGTTTAGTGAAAACGACTTCGGGCCCAAACCTGGCGGGCGCAAGCCTGGAAAATAGCGGCCACGGCGCCCTCTCGAAAACCGAAAACGGACAATTCACTAATCGACGTGTCACTGTTGGGGGTTCTGTCCAGCCCCGATTCTCTCGGGGGGCCGGCAGCCGCGCGCCGCGCGCCCTCGGAGGCCGAGGGCCCCCGAGAGCCTGGGAGCACCGCGTGCTCTCTGGGGCGTCGGCTTCGGCCTCCGAAGCCCCTGCAACCAACGCAGCGTGCATCTGGAGATCGGCTTCCACTCCCCAGAAACATGCACTCTTGGGGACCGATGCCCCTACGGCAGGTTCGTGTCGTGCCGACCCCAGCGTTGGTTCCCGACACCGCGCTGGATCGTTCAACCTTGAACGATCGGCCGTCTCCGCAACGTCCGATCGTTCAACATCGACCGATTCTGGGCCGCCGGCGGCGTTCAACCTTGAACGTCCGCGCTGGGGTCGCCGCTGGTCGACACGACGCAAACCTACCGTACTCCCCGAACCTGTCCCAAGGTGCGTTCTGACCCGGATCTCGAGGCGGATCCAGCCGTGGCGACGAGGGCCTCCCAGGGTGCCCGAAGAGGCGAAGACGAGGGAGGGGCAGCGGCATCGGTATCGTTTTCCACGTCTGAACTCTTCTGACAAAAATCTGAACACCCACAGGCGCGCGAGGAAGCCGACGCTGGCGGCCGCGTTCGGCCGGGGGCTGGCAGCAGGCGCGGTGTGCGTGCGCGCGCGTGAGCGGGGGTGCCTTTCACTCTGAGCTTCGGGACAAGGAAAGGCGACACCAGGAGGCCACGCTTTGGCCAAACAAGAACAGAGGCGTCGGAGCTCATGAGGGAGGGATGTTGGCCCACGATGGCAACAATGTGGAACGACGGGTTGGACTGCTCAGGCCAGGGCTGAACCTAAACGGTGTTATTCGTTTACGTTTTGTTTTCGTTTTCCCTCGATTTGTTTTCAATCCGCCTTTACCGCAAAACGAACTCGAAACGAAAACGGGCAACGAAATCGCCAAAACACCGTTTGGGCCCACCCTAGGCTCAGGCTACGTGGGCGTGGGGAAGGTATAGCAAGCTCGCGGGGGACGTTTGAGGATCCTGGGGAAATATGCTTGTGCATGGGGGAAGTCGAGTGGGCGTGGGGGAGGTCACACATCGGCGTGGGGGACGTGCGAAGAAACTCACTCAAATAAGACGCGCAGAGAAGCTGGGCAGGAGACGGAGAAATGTACAGGGACGGCGGGGCCTAACAGCTGTGGCTGAAGCGCCCCGGAGCTTCCCAGCCTTGGCCGGAAGGGCACCCGAGCCCCCGGCCTCAGGCGAAAAGGCTTCAGCACTTCCCGGCCTTCGCCTGGGGGGCGCCTAGAGCTTTCCAACCTCAGCAGGGGGCACCACCCCAGAGCCCACCAGCCTTGGTCGGACGTGCCGCCAGGAGCCTTGCGCGCTTACCATGTCTACTCCAGAAAAGCCTCACCAGAAAGAGCTCCCAAGAGCTCCCAGACGGGCCCCCCCGAGAAGCGTCACCATGTTTACTCCAGGCTGCCCTCGCTTGGCCAACAAAGCCATGAAGCCCCCCAGCTTCTCCGCATAAGGGCCCCAAATTGACTGCCTACCTAACCACCCCAACATAACCCGAAGACCTGAATTTCGGGTTGGGGGGGATACGGAATACGGGAACCACACATGTTTTTTCAATGTTCCCCGACCCCCCCACTGGGAATGGAGGGCAAATAGGGGCCTTCGGGTTGGGTTGGGGTGGTTTGGTGGGTGGTGAAGAGCCCCCGGCCTCAGCCAGAAGGGCCCCGGAGACTGCCATCCTTACAGCTGGAAAACCCGTGGCCCGTGGCTTCCCAGCAGCCTTAGTCGGGAGGGCTGGAGACCCTACAGGGCAGTTTTTAACACATGGGATTAAAAAAACATATTTATATATATATATATATATATATATATAGGATTTTAATACATGATCAATTTGTGATTAAACTCATGCGTGAACTCATCGTTGTTTTTAATACTAAATCCCTGCATTTTTAATACATGATCCGCACGCGGAGCATGTATTAAAAACGGCACTGTAGCCTCAGCAGGACGGGCACTGAAGCATCCCAGCTTCAGACGGGAGGCCCGAGCCCCCTGGACGCTCGCCCAGCATCGCCCAGGTCCGCCCAGCCTGCCCCATACCCGCCCATCCTTTTCCATGGTGGCCGTCGTCTTCTCAGCGCCCCAGGCTTGGCTCGAGCGATCTCATGTCCGTCCAGCCTCCCCCGAAGTAGGGCGACGAAATCTATACATATCCACTGCTCCCTGGCCAGGCCCATCCTCAACCCCGCAGCGGTGTATACGCCACGCCCTCCTGGCTTGGCCAGGAGGGCGCATACACAGCTCTTGGGTTCAAGATGGGCATGGTCAGGGAGCAGTGGATATGTATAGATTTCGTCGCCCGACCGAAGCCCGCCCAACTCCCCCTGTGCCCCCACGCCAGCGCATGACTCCCCCCATCACGCCCGCCAGGACCCCCCCCCCCCGCTTCAGCACACGCCCGCCGCTTCCAGCAAGACCCCCCTCGGCCGTGCTGGTGCACCGGCCTCAGAGCGCATCCATCACTTCATCACCCCCCCTCCCCTTCCTCCTCCTCCCGTCCTGCTGCTATATCTATGATTCGCTCTCTCTCTCTCTCTCAACACCTCTCTCTCTCGATGTTTGTACATGCATATGCATACGTATAACTACAATATTTTGTATGTACACATCTATACAGACCTCTGCCCGCCCACCCACCTACTCACCTACCTACTGACCCACCTGCCGACTAACCTACAGTCAAAAACACTAACAAGGACGCGCGGCAAGGACGCAAGACCCTTGGAAGCCGAAGTGGGGACTTTTTGGGGCGGCGGACGACGAAAACCTCAAGGACGCAAGCGCAAGGAAGGGCAAGGACGCAAGGGCACCCTGAGCAACGTCGCGCGTCCTTATTCGGGTATTTTTGACTGTATGCATACCTCTGCCCGCCCACCCACCTACTGACCTACCTACCGACCTACCTGCCGACCGACCTGCCTGCATACGTCTCGCACTCCCCCCCCCCCCGGTTCTCCTAAGCTTCTTCTCCCCGGCTCTCCGCCTGCCCCCCCCCCGCCCCCGGCCCGCCTGCCTCTCTCTTTCCTCCTCGCCCCTTTTCTCGCCTCTCTCCGTCCCTCTCCCTCCTTTCCCTCCTCGCCCCTTCTCGCCTCCTTCCGTCCTTTCGCTCCCCCCCTTCCGTGGGCTGCCTCCGGTCATCTCCCTCCCATCCTCTCTTAGGATGCCTCCGTCCCTCCCCCTCTGGGGCTGCTTCCGCTCCTCCCTCCCCTTCCGCTCCCCCCCCCCAAACTCGTGAGACGAGGGACGATGACGACGGTCGCCATCCGCAGATGCGGGAATCTGGTGATGACCGCGCTGGCGAGGACGACGATGATGAGGAACGCGGGAAAAGCTCCCTCCACCCCCGCCGGATCCCGGCCAATGTGGCACTCATCGACGAGACCCACAGTTCACTCGGAGGTCTCGGGGGCTGGGCGGGTTCCGCAGACCCGGGCCAAAAGGGGTGCCAGTGGGCGACGATCGCCCCCACCTGGCCACACGTCAGGCGCTTGCCCTTTCAAGCGGCGCAGCTCGTGCTGTGCCGCCTGCTTCCGCTGCCAGCCCACACCAGGAGACCGGGGGCACTCCTTACCCAGCCCGCAGGTCTGGATGCCGCATGCTGGCAGCATCTCTTACAGGACAACATTAACCTCGTCGACCTCGGCGAGCGTGGAGAGATGTGTCTATGATGGCGGTGGTGGTGATAGCGGTGACTGTGCTGATGAGTCTGACAATGATGCTGATGCTGCAGCTGATGCTGCTGATGTTGCTGCTGCTCATGATGATGATGACGATGACGGTGACGATGATGCTGATGCTGATGCTGATGATGATGCTGCTGATGATGATGCTGATGATGACGAGCACGAGGTGAGGACGGAAGAAAAAAAGTGTGAGGAGGGAAAATAAGGACATAATGCACCTCGCGAAATGGTTGAGAAATCATGGGTTAAGAAATTCATCTGTCTAGGACAGGAAATTTCGAGACGCTGGCTGCAGAACTACGTTTTCTTAAGCATCGAGCGCGGTGTAAGAAGGGGGTCGGAATGGAAGCAGAAGAGGACAGAGAGATGGGCGGCATAAGAGCGGAAACGCCTCGAGCCACTGTCGACCCACTTGAGGATCCAGGTGTCGATCATGCCGATCAAGACCAGGAACGCGTCCATCAAATTCCTGGACAGGGGCAGGAAGAGACGGACAAGGAGTAGGAGGAGGAGGTGAGGACTACGGGGAGAACAAGAGTGAGAAGGATAGGAGGAGACGGACGAGGTGTTCTGTTGACGCCGAAGCTGGCCCAAAGCTCTTGGAGCACCGATTGAAAAACAAAAAAAATGTATCGTCAGATGTCTGTGTCCAAAGTCTCGAGAGAGCCTTCCAGAAGTCCCTCTTGAGACCTCCAGGGACCTCTGGAAAACTCCAGGAGATTGCTTCTTCCTTGTCTTGTTCCCCTCCAGTGCTGTTGTTCCTCCTCCCTCCTCGCCCTCGTCTTCCCTCCTCGTCTTCCTTCTCCTCCACCTTCTTCTCCTCCTCCCCCATCCCTTCCCTTCTCCTCCTCCTTCTTCTCCGCCTCCTCCTCCACAATTACTCAATATGAATACTACTCTCCCTCTTCCCCCGATGGCGGCCTGAAAATAGCCGACCCCCCCCGCGTACTGTTTTTTACACACAGGATTCCCGGGAGTTGGCTTTTCGCCTGCGTTTTTTTTCTCAAAATGCTGCTCTCGCTGAGGCGCCGGCCTCATTTCTGCTCCCGAATCGTTCCGAATCGTGCTCCCGCTGCAGCGTGGGCCTCATTTTCGGATCGGTGTTTGGCCTCCGTCGTTCAGGATGGCGTTCTCGCCCCAGCGCGGGCCTCTTTCTCGCGCGCCCATCCGCCCGCCACCACCGCGCCGCACCACCACCACCCACCACCACCACCACCACCACCACCACCACCACCAGCACCAGCACCAGCACCAGCACCAGCACCAGCACCAGCACCACACCACGCACACACGCACGCACGCATGCACGCGCACCACCACCCGCTACGCACGCGCGCGCGGAGCCACAGGTCCGCTACGACACGCGTCCGCGGATAGAGAAAATCAGCGCCATGGTAAGGGATGGGAGGGAGGGGTAGGACGTCAGATATGACGCGAGCGCACCTAGCTTGTCCTCCTCCCCCTCCCCCTCCCCCTCCCCCTCCCCCTCCTCCTCCTCCTCCTCCTCCTCCTCCTCCTCCTCCTCCTCCTCCTCCCTCGTGTCCTCATCCATGTCTCCCTCGTCCTCCTGTCGGATTGCTCGTCTGCGGGAGATCGGGTGAGGCGGCATGTAGATCGGACGAGGAGCGGTCGTAACGCAGAGAAGTGCTCAGGGCATGGAAGCTACCGCACCCCCAACCACAACATAAGCAACATGAAACAACGAACTACCTCCTTCGATCCTTCCTCCCACTCCTTCCCTTCTCACTCTAGCCACACCAGTCCTTCTTGTCAAAGGGAGGGAGTGGGGGTCCAGAAGCTGAACACCCACTTCGCCTTCTCGGCCTTGATGCGCATCACGCACTCCACGAAGAACACGATGTTGAAGACTGACTCGCAAAAGATCCAACTGCGGGCGCGAGAACTGCACGAGAGGCGTGGTAAGGTGCTGTCCGAAGGGGGCCGCCCTACGCAGGGCTAGGCGGTGGCGCCGGGGCGGGGCGCCCTCTCGAGAGGCGGACTCAATCCATCTATGTATGTATGTGTAATGCTTACGAATGTATATACATATATACATATACGTATAGATGTTTGTATATATACACACTAGAACCATCGCGAGCTTCGAGCGCGCTCAAGTTCTAGCTAGGCTTGATGGGCTAAATCATGGAATATCATGTTTGTCGCTTCTTGCATCCAAGGGCTCTCTTGGAGGCCCTGCGCAAGCCTCGGAACCGTATAGGAGGGGAACTGCGGAAGCGCAGACATCATTACTTCCCGTCAGGTGTTCAAATATTTGGGGCCCTCAAAGGCTTCCTGGTTTCTTTTCTGGGAGCTGAGGGGAACCTTGATTGTGGTTGTTGAGCAAGAATAAACAAGGGACGAATTTGAAACAACAAGAATTGTGGGATTTCCATGTGTTCAAGGTGCCGTGTCTGGGCTGTGGGTTAGACGTTTTCTGTATACAGGCCACGGCCGTCGGGATGCCTCTCGGGATCTCCGTGCAAACATAAGCACGTGGTGAGTTTGAAATAGAAGGAAACTAAACTTTTCAACGCATGGGATCATGGGATCTCGATTTCTACTGTGGTTTCAGGGGCAGCAGACATGATGCAACGACGATCCAAGAGAGTACCAAGACAGCGTCAGAGAGTCCAACCCTATTCCCGAAACATCTTTACATGTGACTCTGAAGTCTTGATGGGGCTCGAGGAAGAGATAGGGAGCAGGAGTCCCAACTTGAAAAAAGGGGATCTCTGGACTTCCCTGTTTCTTTCAAGTTCCTCGGTCTTGGACCGTTGGAAGCGGGACAACGTGAGAAGGCAAACGACGTCGACAAAAACCACTGGAAATCAACGATTGTACTCCAGATCTCGTAATAAAAAGGAGGGGGTCTCAACCCTCCCAGGCGAGAAGTTTTAGACCCCCCCCGTGGGAGAACCCTCCAAAACATCGTCCCCAGACCCCCCCAGGCCCTCCAAGATAGCCTGGAAGAGACCCCCCCCGAAATGTGACCGCCCTCCCTTTTATTACGAAATCTTGAGTATTCTCTTCGGGCTCTCTCGGGACGGTATAGATCACTCGGGGCCCAGGCCCTTCTACCGACCCTAAGGTTCCCAAGGGTGCGCCCTACGGAAGGCCCTAGGCTTCCCAAGGGTAGGCTCTACCGAAGGCCCTAGGCATCCCAAGGGCAGGCCCTACTGAACACCCTAGTGTAGCCCTAGGGTAGCCCTTGGGGTAGGCCCTAGGGGCAGCCCTCGGGTAGCCCTAGAGGTAGGGCCTAGGGTAGCCCTAGGGGTAGGCCCTAGGGGTATCTAGGGTAGCCCTAGGGGTAGGCCCTAGAGGTAGGCCCTAGGGGGTCGCCCTAGGGTAGCCCTAGGGGAAGGCCCTCGGGTCGCCCTTGGGGTAGCCCTAGGGTCGCCCTAGGGGTAGGCCCTAGGGGTAGCCATAGGGTAGCCCTAGGGGTAGGCCCTAGGGGTAGCCCCAGGGTAGCCCTAGGGGTAGGCCCTAGGGGTAGCCCTTTTATTGCATATTACAAACTGATTCCTTTGGTCGGGCGGGCGGGCGGGACATTAAATGCATTGATTGCTTTGGTGGCGGATTAAATACTGATTCCCTTTGGTAGCGGATTACAAAGTGATGCCTTCAGTCGGGCGGGCGGGCCGAACATTAAAGGCATTGATTGCTTGTGTGGTGGGTCACCAATTGCTTCCCGTTGGTAACGGATTACGAGTCGATTCCCTTTGTGGTGGAATATCAACTGATTATTTTTGTCCAGCGGGCGGGGGGGACCTTAAAGGCATTGGTTGCTTGCGTGGCGGATGGCAAACCGATTGTTATTGTGGCAGATTACACAATGATTCCTTTTGTCGGGCGGGCGGGCGGGACATCACAGGCAATGATTGCTTGTGTGGTGAATTACAAGTGGATTCCCTTTGGCAGCGGATTACAAACTTGTTCCTTTGGTCGGGCGGGCGGGCGGGACATTAAATGCGTTGATTGCTTTGGTGGTGGATTACAAAGTGATTACATTTGGCAGCGGAGTGCCGCCGTGTTTGGGAGCACGCGGTTTCACGCCTGCAGCGCCGCCGTTGCGACTCCTGGCGTAATTACCTCGGCAAGGCGTGCTCGGTCCCCTCCTCCCTCCTCTTGGCCCCTCGTCTTCCGAGTCTCCGGGAGGGGGAGGGACCCCCCAAGCGGCGGAAGGTCTGTGAGGGGGGGTGCAGATCACCCGCGAGGCGCGACCCCACGCGCCTTTTCTCTCCTGAGACCGGGCCGAAATGGCTTCGGCCACACACGCACGTCGGCACGCTCCGAAGGCAGGCTCCCCTCACCCAATACCCCGCATATCGGCCTTCATCACAATCTGCTCGCACTGCATCAGCAGTGTCATTCATCTAGCGCTCCGGCTTCACCTTGCGGTCGGTCATCTCGTTCTTTGGGAAGATCGGAACCTCGGTGTCGATCAGGTTGTCCTCGGAGGCTCCAAAGTCTCTCACCAGCAGGCGAAGCAGCTTCGCACGAAACAGGGTGATCGTTGAGCTCCACATTGACTGTCTCGCAGATCGTCTGGATGCCCAAGTGGTAGCTCTCGTTGTCGGGCACATGGCTGTAGCGGCCTTTGCCCTCTGGTATCTGCCAGTCGTCCGACTCCGCCTTCTCCGGGGACTTGAACTCCTCGTCCTCGCTCCATGCAGGGTTGCGAAAAGTCGATACCGCCGTCTCTCCTCCATCCGGGGCTGGGATCACCTCGCCTTTCATGAGCTTCTTGTACACCATGTCTAGGGACCTCAGCATCCGGACAGCCTCGTCCTCCACCACCGCCTTGGTCCGGACGGAAACATACCCCGAGCCCTTGCACCACGTCGCGTGCACCTTGGTGCGAGCTAGCAGGCCCTCTGAGTTGGCCAGCGTCTCTATGGTAGTTGTCACATGGCACTTTCCCGAAGCATTCGTGATGTCCGAAGGTCCGGACGCGAGACCCTCGAGGAAACTTCGCACCTCCACCTCGCTCAGCGAGGTAGCGTACTTGACCATGCCTGCGGAGGTCCTGCAAGAACAGGGCTGCAGCCTTGGAGTCCGATCTCACTTGAGCCGAGAGAAGCCTTCTACGTTCCCGTTCCCGAGCAGCAGCAGCTAGGACCGTAGGTTCATCAGCCAGTTGATATTCCCCCGTCACCATAGTAGCCCGTATTAGATCAGCAGCCTCCGCCTTGTCCTTAGTAAATATGTCGGCTAGTTGTAGTGTCGTAGGTATCCATCTTACCGTAGCCCCAAGACGTTTCAAACTTTCTTTGGTAATTACGAGATCTACTGCTACCCGCTTGTCCGTGGCCGAACCTGCACTACTACACGACGCCGTGACCATAAAGCGATTTGCAATCCGTTACTACGATAGGATTTAGCCGAGGGAGAAATTTTGACCGAGCCTCCAGAGTAAACTTTGGGCCCAAAGCTTCCAGGAATATACGCGCCAGCCTCTCCACATGTCCAAGAGCATCCATCTGAACCTGAGCCTCAGCAGCTAAGGTAGAAGCCGTAACCCGACGAAGACGATAGCTGCGCCAGCGCGGCGGACTCCAGGGGGCAAGCATGTTTTTGATCATGGTTTCGTCGGTGGCTGCGATAACATATCCCGCTTGGGTTCTGGAATTAACGGCATTTTGATTTGAAGCATCAGCATGAGCAACCAGTCGAAGTCGGTCTAGCGGCATGTGTCGAACTCGCCATCGCATCGAACTGAACTGCCTCGCTCGTCGAACCAAATTGTTTGCGTGCCGAATCTGTCCCACCGTAGGTTTCGGTAAAATCTGTTGCCCCATCGATACTTGCGCCGCGATATCCGGACGAGTCTCCCGAGCCAGCCAATTTCCAGCACCCAGCACCGTTCGAACGTTTGAAATCTCCCGATCGGTAGCTGGAAGTTCGGGCGAGCACCTAGGACGAACACCAGCTGGTTTCATCTCGGTAGCGAAACCTGTTGAGATATGATCAAATCGAACGTGTGAGGATCTTGCCACAGCGAAGAGCCACAAAACTCCCCCTGGCCTACGCACCACTTCCGAAAGGAAAACGACTTGCGCAGATGTTGAATAGCAAGACGATAATTTTCACCGTAGCCTGCAGACAGCGCGTCGTCGACATGCGTCGCGATGAGGCCGCACAGCTGGCCCTCATCGTACAAGTAAAAGATGCACGGGTCCATCTTCGACTGGACCCAGCCTGACCCCCCAGATTCAGGACTCCACTGCAGAAGCGTATCACGAAACTTCTGCCACCACATGGCCGGGGAGTCGCTCAGGCCGTAGATGGGCTTCAACTTCCAAGATCTGATCCGGCGAAAGACCCGGCAGACCACAGCTTGGCTGTCGGAGGTAGATCTTCCCCGTTGGCCTGTTGAGCTCGTCCGCCTCCAAGAAAGCTCCAGTCACATCGGCGATGCTCATCCTGAACTTGTTTGAAGCCAACAGTTGATGCACAGCAACCTTTCCATTGTGCGATAGCGTTGGCGATGATGTCTTTCGCTCACGAACCAACTGCAGCAGGTCAGGATCAGAGTGGCCTTGACCACATAGGCGAGCCTTGGCGATCTCGTTCTCGTTGTCGTCGATCTTGGAAGTCATCGCCATACGGCTGCCGAGAATACGATCGGGACTGTCACGGCGAATCCGAGCGGAATCTTCTGAACTCAACGGCCTCAACGCTTGCTTCTCCGCGTGCGCGTTGTTCCACTCCTCCTGGATGCCCGCCGCCACTTTTGCCTTTCCCTCCTCAGAGCACCACTTTGAATCCTTGAGGTTGATCTCCTTCCGACCGTTCGTTAACAGCACATCGCCCACCTCAGCGTCTTCGCACTGGCCGACGTACAACAATCCAAGCTCTTCCTCTTCATCTAAAACGCCATTGTCCCAGACGAGCCTTCATCGGGTCGAGGTCGGAGTGCCTCGTCACGTCGACGAAGGTCCTCCTGGCGAATTTCAGCTTCCCGTTTGGCCACTGCAGCTGGCGGCGGAGGTAGACCCGCAGGGTACATGACACCACCAATAGCTTGGCCCGAGACATCCAGCGGCGCTCGGAACTCACTGCTCTGGGCACCTGCGTCCAGCAAAACGGACGGGGCGCCAGCGCCAGACGCCTGTTGTCCCCCGCCTCCTGTGGAAGGGGTGCCCTCGGTGCTGGTCACCGGGTCCGGCGACGGTGAACCCACGGCTGCGCCATTGGGATTTGCCTGACCCAGTTTTCCACCGCGGCATCAGGAGCGGCTGCTCGAGGCGGCTCACCAGCAGCAGCAGCAGGCGCGTCGGCAGCACCAGGTGGTCCACCTTCGTCAGTGATGTCCAGGAACCCTCTTTGAGGCCCAGCCCCAGACATAAACTCCCGAGCCAACGTCTGTAGCGTCTGTAGCTCAGGACGCACAACCTCCTCGGCCAACTTCTCCTCCTCCGTGGCACGGCGCAGCTGCTCCGGGGGCGCCTTCAGCACCACGCCAGGCATAGCCGCCCAGTAGTTGCCTCGAACAGGTCCGATGACAACTCCAGAGCCTCGCCATCTCGCGTGAGCTTTCTTCCCAGGAATACCTCGGCCTCGACGCCAAACTGCCGCGCGATCACCTGGTGAAAACTCCTGCACCACGCGGGGCCTAGCATCAAGGGCGGCACGAGCAGCTCGATCATCCATCCGCTTCAGCACCTCCAGCCTGGCAATTTGACGGCACTTTTCAGCGTGCTCGAAAGGTTCCTCTTTCAGCATCATGCCGCTCGCGACTATGTCCGGAGTATCCTGAAGCAAGTCAGCGGGTACCTCTGGGTTGTGACCAATCGCAATCTGGTAAGGCGAGTGACCATGCTTTCTCAATAGAGAATTCTTCGCCACCACTGCCGCACCCAGACACGCCAGCCAACGTTCCTTCGTATCAGGACAGCATTGATCCAAAAGTTTGTTGAAGATGTCTTCGAAGTACTGCCCATGGCGCTCAGCTCGGCCAATCTGCTCATGCGCCTCTCCAGCCGCATCCTGAGCCTCCATGCCCTGGCTGTCGAGGTAGTCCATCAGCTTCTGACCACAGTTCACCTTGCTCGCGTCGAAACGAATGATCTTGGGAGGCCCATAAGGTCGGATCCAGGATGAGCACAGGGTCTGCCGCAACACATCACCAGTCTCCGTCTCGAAAAAGGCCGTCACCATCTGTAGCGAGCTTGTCACACGCACGACGTTGAGACAATTCACCTTCATACTCGGAGTCCACCCTCTGAGCTCCTTCGCGTCCATCTCGAGCAGTCTCGGGGGCGCCACCGTAGTTGGCAGCGCAGCCGGACGAACGAGTTTCGGCTGCCTCCTGCCCTCACACACAGAACATTTGAACTCCCGCGCAGACCTAATCACCATCTCGCTGGCATTCGCGTGCTTGAGCACTCTGATCAGGTCCTCGTTGCTAGGATGACCCAAATTGGCATGCAGCCGGCGAAGGGTACCCTCGAAGCTAAGACGACGTCGCTTCACGACCTCCTCCCCAACATTCTCCGCAGTAAGCGCATGATCATGCCCTTTGATCTCGTCCACTGCCAACTGAATGAGAAAGCCATCTGCTAAATCTTCCACCAGCTGAGGTGGATGAGCCTCCGAGAGCACACTCCGTTTCTTTCCACCTGAGCACGCAACACAAGACTGATGCAAATGCTTCTTGTCGCACCGTCTCTCGGCTAAGACCCACTTTAACATGTCGCAGTTTGTTGCGAAACTCCATGTCTTCTGAATCGGCAGACCTGACTCTGGATCCTCAAGGCCAACCTGGCAGCCCTGGACCGATACTCGGTGCACCGATGGATCATCACATAGTCGGCGGAGACCTGGAACATCCCACGACTTTGCCGTCAACGGAGCCTCGAAATAGAAAGATCCACCATGTACTTTAACCTTCCGAGCAGCTCGCAAGCAACATATAATAAAATCCAAAGCCTCCCGAATATCCGCATAGCATTTGTCTGGGTCTCGACGCTCATCTGCTGGAGTCAGCCGCTGAAGCACCGAGAATAAACGACACGGGGGTGACATACCCACGACCTCTGGCCTTTCCACCATCGTAAGGATTTTGTCTCTATGGCTAGATATCCGAGCATCCCATCCATTCTTCACGTGAAAAGAACCAATATTCTGGAAACCTTGCTTCTCCAAGCTCGGGCACAGACGAGGGGTCGAGAACAGCTCCAGGCATTTGGGTTTCCACTTTTGCTGCTGTGGTAGCTCAACCAGAAACTTCTTCAAATCTCGACGATCGCGGCGACTGAGGATCCCGGAAGCTCCAGCATTCCCGCACCCAAACGTGTCGTCAAAGTCTGGACAGAAAACCTCCTCGACCTGAGGGCCCCGGCCCGGCCCTAGCGAAAACCCGCGGTGGCCTCAGCCACCTCAGTCATGAACGACTCCGAGACGGGCTCCTCCAGCTTGACATCTACCTCTGCCGATGAAAACTGCTTCTGCGTTTCATTGATCAGCTCGCACAAATTCAGTTGGCAATGTCCGCTCTTTGCTTCCCACAGCGGGATCGTCACATTCAACTTTTCCAGGATCATACGGTCACGAACCATGTCAATCACTGCACCCAAGCTCTTCAACATTGGTTTGCTGAGCAAAAGCGGTGCTTTCCCCGGGGCGACATACAACCTCAAACTCAGCTCCTTGCCACCCGTCCTGCACTCGATCTCCACATACTCGATGGACCTCTGTGTCTGCTGATTTCCAAATCTGAAAGTTATAGGCTGATGCGCCAGGCGCTTCACCTTCAAACCAGCTTTCGTCATCGCGGCCTCGTGCTCGGATAGCGTCTCTTTTCCGATAAGTCCTCGGCCACGCCCGGTATCCACAACACCATGCCCCACATCGTGAGACGAAATCAGCACATCCACTTCGTCCTTGACCTCCGTGATCTTCTCGAAATAGGTACACAAAGTATCAATATCGTCGTCGGAATCCTCCTGAACCACCATAGCTGGTACTGTATCTGCAGGGACTTCCTCCACGAACGTCGCTGGTGGCGTTTGCTTCGGAGGAAACGGTCTAGGACGACGCGGCTTCTTGCAATCTCGACTGAAATGACCAACCTCATCGCAATTA